GTGGCGCAATTACAGCTCATTGTAGCCTTGACCTAAAGCAGTTCTTCAACCTCAGCCTCCCAGGTGGCTGAGACTCCAGGCACATGCCACCACGCCTGGATAATTTTTGTATTTTTTGTAGAAATGTTGCCCTGGCTGGTCTTGAACTCCTGGACTCAAGCAATCTTCCCACCTCAGCCTCCCAAAGTTCTGGTATTACAGACATGAGCCACTGCACCCAGCCCCATGACTATAGATTTTCTATCCTAGTTTTGAAGACATGCTTTTCAGAAGTGTATGCTGAAACATAGTCAGTACATTCTACAACTGTCCTCTTTAGACCACCTGTCTTTCTGGGCAGCCAAAGGGGGCATGTCTCATTTGCCAGGGAAATACTTTGATGCAGAATCCTATAGAAGCTTTCCCCTGCAATTAGGGAGGTGAGATGGTCCTTGGATATTGAAAGAGTATAGAATGCATGGTAGAGGCTGGATGAATGCAGTACATATCCTTAATTATAAATGTTACTTGTTCAAACATTTCATTAACACCTACTGTGTGCAAGGCACAGTTCTAGGTCTTAAGCTTTAGTCCCTTCCATCCAGGAGTTAATTAACTAGTCATCCATGTGAACATGAAATTACTATGTTTTAAATTTAAGAGCAGTGGCTCACACCTGTAATTCAAACATTTCGGGAGGCCAAGATGGGAGGATCACTTGAACCCAGGAATTTGAGATTATCCTAGGCAACAAAATGAAACCCTATCTCTACAAAAAAACTTTGAAAAATTAGCCATGCTAATCTATCTATCTATCTTTCTTTCTCTTTCTTTCTTTCTTTCTTTCTTTCTTTCTTTCTTTCTCTCTTTCTTTCTCTTTCTCTTTCTTTCTTTCTTTCCTTCTTTCTTTCTTTCTTCTTTCTTTAAAAAAAAAAAAAGCATATCCCTATCACCCCATTTTGCATGAGTTCCCTTAACCCTGTGTACACTCTAGAAAAAGTCCTTTCTTTAAACTTTTCAATAAGCCTGGGCCATTGTTTCCCAGTAGCACCCTGACTACAACAACTGCTAATCTCCATTTCACTTTGGGCCATATACATCCTACTCAATGCAATCTGTGTCAAAATACCAATGACATTCTTTACAGAAGTAGAAAAAAAATCTTAAAATTTGTGTGGAACCACAAAAGACCCTGAATAGCCAAAGCAATCCAGAGCATAAAGAACAAAGCAGGGGCATCATGCAACCTGATTTCAAAGTACAGTTGACCCTTGAACAACACAAGTTTGAACTGTTCAGGTCCATTTATATCTGAATTTTCTTCTTCTGCTGTGCCCTGTAAGACAGCAAGACCAGCTATTCTGATTTTTCTTCCTTTTCGTCTCCTTACTCAATGCAAATACAACAAGAATACTTTTATGATCATCCGGTTTCACTTAAGGAATAGTAACTATATTTTGTCTTTCTTATGAATCTTAATATTTTCTTTAAAAAAAAAACAAAAAGAAAAGAAAAGAAAAATTAGCCATGCGTAATGGTATGTGCCTGTAGTCTCAGCTACTAGGGAAGCTGAGGTGGAAGAATCCCTTGAGCCCAGGAAGTGGAGGCTGCAGTAAGCCATGTTTCTGCCACTGTACTCCAGCCTGGGCAATGGAGCAAGACCCTGCCACAGCTAACCAAACAAACGAACAAAAATCATTAAGAGCAGTGTTTAATAATAACAACATGAAATACAGCTTTTTTTTTGGAGACAGAGTCTCTCTCTGTTTCTCAGGCTAGAATGTAAGTGGTGCAGTCTCGGCTCACTGCAACATCTACCTCCTGGGTTCAAGTGATTCTCCTGACTCAGCCTTCCGAGTAGCTGGGACTACAGGCATGCACCACCATGCCCAGCTAATGTTTGTATTTTTAGTAGAGATGGGGTTTCACCATGTTGGCCAGGATGGTCTCAATCTCTTGACCTTGTGATCCACCTGCCTCAGCCTCCCAAAGTGCTGGGATTACAAGCATGAGCCACTGTACCCAGCCAAAATACAGCATTTTTTATAGTCAGTTTTTAAAGACTATCACCCAACAATAGCAAACTCACTTATTTTAAATTCCAAATTTTCTGAAAGGGGTTTATGAGTCTAAAACAAAGCAACTCTCCTAAAACATAGGAAGCCCTGCACTAGTGACAGTAATCTTTTAAAGCAACCTGAAGGTTTTTTTCTTTATTGAGTCAATATAAGCCTCTACTTTTCTGGTTCTCCAAATCTAGTTTCTGTATATGCATTGGGGATTGGTCAAGTGAGAGAAGCAGTGTAACACTAGGCATCTGCTATCCTGTGGAGTAGGCAGAGTGGCCAGGAACATCTGTGTGCACTAAGGCAGTTTCTGCATTCATGTCATTCAGAGTCTCAGGCAGTGACTGCACCTGTGGCTTGAGACCTCTGACTGTGATTTACAAGAACTTCTGAGTATGAGACCCCCAGTGGACTTCAGACTGAAACACAGATATGCCATGCCCTTTGAAGGTGCTCATATATAAATCCTAGGAGAAATGTGGTTCCTTTGAATAACTTCTCAGTGTAAGAGCATTAAAAAGACCCAAGTAGAAGGGAAGAGCAGGTAGTAGATTTCAATCTTGGAATAAAATTATGAGATGTTTTTGGGTTGTGGTTTTGGGGTTTTTTTACTTACTGGTATGTACTTAACCACTTGTGCTTACCTTTGTTTTGTTACACAGTATTACCTCTTTCCTACATATGGAAGCTTTCTTGAAAAATAAAAGGGAGGACTATTATAGCCCCTTTTGGTTTTGCATGGAGAATTACATATCCTGCTCATGCTAGCTAAAGAACAAAGTTGCATATAAGCCAAAGGAGTGTGTACATGATGAAATGCACATGATTTAACTCCACCCTAGATTAATAAATGAGTTTTCATTAGTACCTTGTCCAGAGAGTTTCACAAGAAATAAATTGATCTTTCACAACATGTCTATTCCTTTCTCATGCTGTTTATCATCACTCGTTGGAGAATATGTTTAGAAGGTAATGATTTTTCATGACTTAAATTAAATGTGAGAGGAGACTATCCACAGAGAGTTCTAACCATGGTACTACTATTTGAAGAGTGTCAAATAATATTAAAGATTAACTGAGGAATCAAAAACACCCAACATACCATTTCACCGACTGACTCCCACCAGGTTCTAACTCAGCTCCATTAAAGGAAGCTCCAAGAATTAGTTGTAAATAGATCCCTGGAATTTTGGTAAACTCTTTTTTTTTTTTTTTTCCTATCCTTAAGTTTGTATTGTCTTAGCAAAGAAATGTTCTATGAAATTCTATTAAGCTTTTGGTAATATGCTAACCTACAAAAGAACTATTTGCTACATAACTATTTTTAGATTCGAACATGGGTTTTTGTTTAGTTGGTTGGTTGGGGTTTTTTTTTTTGAGACGGAGTCTCACTTTGTTGCCCAGACTGTAGTGCAGTGGTGCAAATCTCGCTTACTGCAGCCTCTGCCTCCCAGGTTCAAGTGATTGTCGTGCCTCAGCCTCCCGAGTAGCTGGGACTACAGGCATGCATCACTATGCCTGGCTAATTTTTTGTGTTTTTGGTAGAGATGGAGTTTTACCGTGTTAAACTAGGCTGGTCTCGAACTACTGACCTCAAGTGATCTACCCACCTCAGCCTCCCGAAGTGCCGAGATTACGGGCATGAGCTACCATGCCTGGCCTGAAAGAATTTTAAATGGTGATAAGTCATATTTAGGATATACCAAATTATTCCAAAAATTTTACCTTTTTTGTTTGGGTTCACTGATGGATCCTCTTAAAAATCACATCACATATGGTTGGCAGATTTGACAGATTCTGTTTCTGAATTACTCATGTCACAGTATCTGTCATGTAGCCTGGTACCAGAAAACTATTCAAATACTTAGAAAAATGAAACAGATATAGGTGATAGGGAGGAAGGCAGCACATTACACTGCCATGTGTGCACCTATGCAACAATCTTGCATGTTCTTCACATGTACCCCAAAACCTAAAATGCAATTTTAAAAAATTGAAAAAAATTTAAAAAATGAAACAGAAGGAATCTTTTGCCCACTCCACTCATACCTTACATTAGAAATTTTAGGCTTCTCTAGTAGAGGTTTAGTTTTAAATTGGATACCACAAACATTTATAACCTCATTAAATCAATGAGTATGTATGCTTGCACTTTGAAAAGATTTGAGACTCTGCCTCTTAATAATACATTTTATACATTAATAAGGTTTTCAAATAAGAAAGTAATTAGTCTGTACTGCTAATAGAGAATAGGAAATTAAACTAAAAAGATTTTAAGTTCATTGTTTATGTTTTATATTTTGACCAAATGAGTTTTTCTCTTTCCTGAATACATAGTTAATTTCTAGTATGCTATCAAAGGATTCAGAACCTATTCGATTCCTTCAGTTTGTGTCAGTTTTTAAATTGTTATTAATGTTAATAAGTCTCCACTATCTACTTTCTCAAAAAAGAAAACCTTTTTTTGTTTATCTAGAGTGCCCTGCTTAGCAACCTGAATGGCCATCATTTCTCACAGTGCACAAGGAATAATTGGTGTGACTTTATTAAGCCATTAAACTCATCAATAGTTAATTTAGGGTTGTTGATACTAAACTTCTGAAACATACTGCCTCCTTTCTGCTTAGTTTAATGAGATCAAAGCCTGACGTTTAGCCACGGTATTCACCTTTAAAAGCATATTAATTTGATGTAAAGCAAGACCCAGTCAATCTAAGAGTTTGTTATTTAGAATTTAAGGTTTACTTAAGCTAGTAATAAATATGTAAGAAATGTATTAGTGGTAAATTTAAAAAATATAATTGTTTTTATAAGTTGTTAGCATCGGAATCCTTGTTTAAAAAAAGGTATTTTTATTTTTTTAACTTAGTATTTTATTTTAAAGGTTAGCAAAGGTTAAGATTAGACATATATAGTTGCTTGTTTTTGATAGAGTGTGTGTTTTTGTTTCCTGCCACATGTGGGAGCCATTCTCTGAGGTGGGAAAGGCGTGAAAGGCTTGAGAGAGATCTGTCACAGGCCTTTGCCAGCTCCAATATAATACATGTGGCAGTGGTAGGCTCATTTGAAAACTTAGCAATGTACCAAAAAGAAAATTACCACGAGAGTTATATAGTTTAAAAGCATTCAGACAGACCTAGGAATAACATGGGCAGATGAAGAGAAGTCTAGTTCAGTGACAAGGGTTCTGAGGAAGAGGGCTGTGAGTGAGCGCCAATATACAGGAAGATTTTAGATTTTGTTTTTAATGTTTCTGGGATATACAGATAGGGCGGAGATCCCTGACTCCAAATTCATAATTGAGTAATTTTCATGCAATTTGGTTGGATTAAAGCAGAAAGCCCTGTGGATTTCATTAATCCCTGCCTCTTGTTTTGTCCCATGCCTCAGTTCCCTGCAACCTCATCTATCTTTCTTTATTAGGATTATGAACACACTGCTTCCTCCCTAAAAAAAAAAAAAAAAAAAAAAAAAAAAAAAAAAAATGCCTGCTACTACTATTGTTACTAGGGACTGTTGCTGGAGATATTGATAGGGGAAGGTTGCTCTTCTTGCTTGCCTGATATTTAGTACAGTCCCTCAGTCCTACTTCCATTTAGAAAGTGTGAAAATCTCTATTAAGAAGGACTTAGTGAGCCACATTACTATGGAATTCAAGGCTATAGGCCCTGATTAAAAGTCAACATTTAGATCGGGCATGGTGGCTCACACCTGTAAACTCAACACTTTGGAAGACCAGAGCAGGAGAATTTCTTGTGTCCAGGAGTTCAAGACCAGCCTGAAATCCCATCCCTACAAAAAAGCAAAAATTACCCCAACATGGTAGCACACACCTGTAGTCCCAGCTACTCAGAAGGCTGAGGTGGGACAGTCATTTTAGCTTGAGAGATTGAGGCTGCAGAGAGCTGTGATCACACTATTGCATTCAGCCTAGTAAACAGAGCAATACCTGGCCTCCAAAAAAAATGTGCGCGCACACACACACACACACACACACACACGCACATTTTTAAATAGAAAATACTTAGGGAGAATTTTGCAAGAAAATCCTAGATTCAAGTCAATGCCCCACCTCTCCCAAATGATTAATATCATCCAATTAAATGTTTCATATGGAGGGAATCTGGCCAGTTATAAACAGAGAAATTATTCAGAAAGAAAATGACTCAAGTTTGTAAGCTTTTTAAAGTGAGTCAGCTTGCCTGATTAAGTGTACAGTAAGCTCCCAGTTATCTACCCAAGAGAGCGGGACAGTGATATGGTGAGAGTTGAGCATCTACCTCAAAGCCAAGGCTTATATTGTATACTCAGGGTCCTTAATACCTGGCTTTTCGGAGGTATTCAGTAACAAACTATAGAAGTGATCCCTGAAAGTATAGTCTACACAAAATCTGTCATGTGTAGAACAGCCTTACAAAGATACATTGTCCTAGAGATTTTCCTTTGTAATTTGCATCACCAAACATACATTACTTGGCCCAAAAAGATCCCGAATGTCGGAAAGAAGCCATCCTGGCCTTAAAGGTATTTTGTGTATAAGTCAGTAAACAGTCTGTGGTTGGTTTAGCTTACCTTGACACCGTCACATTTCAGGTGTTGTTTATGAACTGGATATATTTGAGTTTTTTCCCTTGGGAAAAAAAATAGTCCTGCTGCAATTTGTGGCTGTTATTAGATTTTATGAATAATTGGTTTGGGGTTTCACTGAGGTATATTGATTCCCTATACTTACATATTTGAGGTTTGTCAACCATTTTATTTTGGTAAAATATTTGTGTACCTCATGTTCTTCTATTTAGCCATGTTTCTGTTCTCATGCAATGTGACCTGAAATAAAACCGGATAAATAAAAACATTTATTGTCCTATCACCCAAAGTTTATCATGAATCTAAAGATATATGTTGTCTAGTATTATCTTTAGAATGATGTTTTCTGTGTACATAATATAAAATGCTTAAATTATGGGTGATATGATTTTCAATGAAATTAACTATATTTTCAAATGTTCTACCTTTTTTCTCTGTTGCTTTTGCCCTTCCTGATCGAAGTCTAGGAGAGTAAGTCAATACTTTTTATGAGAATATATTGTCCTACTTGTATGTCTAAAGACCGTGTTCTCATTCGGCAGTTCAACGTTGTTGATTTTATTTCTTACATTTTCATAATGTAATGACTGTTTCTAGTCATGTAGTCCTTAGAAAAAGTAGCACTCAGTGGAGTGCTAATAATAAATCAACCTTTTTGCATCTGTTTTGTTGGTTTGGCCCTTGTTACCCTCCACAACGTACACTTTTCACTGCCTTAGAATTGTCTTAATTGAAGGCCGGGCGCGGTGGCTCAAGCCTGTAATCCTAGCACTTTGGGAGGCCGAGGCGGGTGGATCACGAGGTCAAGAGATCGAGACCATCCTGGTCAACATGGTGAAACCCCGTCTCTACTGAAAATACAAAAAATTAGCTGGGCATGGTGGTGCGTGCCTGTAATCCCAGCTACTCAGGAGGCTGAGACAGGAGAATTGCCTGAACCCAGGAGGCAGAGGTTGCGGTGAGCTGAGATCGCGCCATTGCACTCTAGCCTGGGTAACAAGAGCGAAACTCCGTCTCAAAAAAAAAAAAAAGAATTGTCTTAATTGAAAAGTATGGTTTATAGGTATATTTTACAGAGCACTAACTACAAAACAAGAAACATAATAATTGTTAAAACCTCACTTAGAAGGTTGCCCTTTTATTTGGGGTGTTTTAGCAGAATGTGTAAAGGGAGAAAAGATACAGCCTAAGGGAAGAACATACTCAGGTTGCATGGACTTGATTTTGTGGTCCACTTCACTTTTTCCAGTCCCTCCTATGGTTGCCTCTGCTGCTGGTATAAACTGGTTTCAGTCTAGTAGTCTGTCTACCAGTGAACTGTGCTTAGTTGAATTCAGTTCAGAGTAGAGCTGGGTTTTGAACAAGAAATCAGAGATCCAACCCAGCTCTGCTTCGGACTTGCTTTGTGACTCTGGCAAGTATTTAGCTGCCCATTTTCCTCCTCTAAAATAAAGGCAAGGACCTGGCAGCTCTTAAAGTTCCATAATTCCCTTAGACCCAGACTAGTGGTAAAGGCTCAGTGGCAGAATAGAATCAAGGATGTGAGAATTGTCTCCAATTTTTGTTTAACCTGTAGTTTTTCTTTCCTAGGATTCGCAGAGCCGACAAGGAGGATACAGCATGCATCAGCTCCAGGGTAATAAGGAATATGGCAGTGAAAAGAAGGGATACCTGCTAAAGAAAAGTGATGGGTATGTATGAGCCCAGCCCAGTGTCTCAGCATGTGATTAACCTAGGAAATTTTTCCAGCCTCTCATATAGGGAAACACACTTAAAAGTTTTATAATATACTAGCTGCAGACCTTTAGCACACTGGTTTTGTTCAGGTAAGTCTGTAATTTAACCTGCTTTCTTTAGAAGAAGTGGTAATTGCTCTGTGGCCCCTAAATGGCATCTCTGACTTGTAACATGCAGCTACTGAGCTCTAAGGCAGCTACTGAGTAGCACATGCAGCAGGCATGTGCTGACCTCATACCTACCCACCTCTCCACTTTTACTCACTGCAGTTTTCTCTGCCTGGTTGCCCACCGGGCCACCCAACCTTGGGGGTCACCCTTGACTCCTCTTTTGCCTGTTGTATTATAGCTAATCTGTCAAAAGCCCCTCCATTTCTAACTCTAAAAGTAGTATACTTCTTGCCATCCACACGGTCCCGGCTCTAGGGTGAGCTGCTGCCGTCTCTCCTGGACTGTTCAGCAGCCTCCTAACTGTTCTCCTTTCTTCACTCATTCTTCTTTTTCTGCAGTTCATCTTCACACAACACTTAGAATGGTTTTTTTAAAAATCATAAAGCACATGATGTCATTCCCCTGCTGAAAATACTCCAGTGGCTTCCCTTTACAAATAGCATCTCAACCCAGCCTTTCCTGTCCTGCCTCATCTTGTTCCATTTTCTCCCCAGGATTCTGCCACATGAGCCTTCTTTTCTGTTGCTTAAACAAATGATTCTGCTTCACAGTAAGTGCATAAGTAGAATCTTGATTATTCCCTTTAATAATTGTCTTTTTGGAGGGAGAGGATAAGACCTTGCCCCGTCTTTCAGGCTCGAGTACAGTGGCACCATTGAAGCTCACTGCACCTCCACTGCTGGGCACAAGTGATGCTGCCACCTCAGCCTCCTAAGTACCTGGGACTACAGGCGCATGCTACGCCACCGTGCCTGGCTATTTTTATTTTTTATTTTATTTATTTACTTATTTTTGAGACAGAGTCTCTGTCGTCCAGGCTGGAGCAGTGGCGCGATCTTGGCTAACTGCAACCTCCGCCTCCTGGCTTCAAGCTATTCTCCTGTCTCAGCCTCCTGAGTAGCTGGGATTACAGACGCCTGCCACTATGCCCAGCTAATTGTTTGTATTTTTGGTAGAGACAGAGTTTCACCGTGTTGGCCATGCTGGTCCCAAACTCCTGACCTCAGGTGATCCACCCTCCTCAGCCTCCCAAAGTGTGGGATTACAGGTGTGAGCCACTGTGCCTGGCCGCAGCTAACTTTTCCCAGGCTGGTCAGGAACTCGTTGGCTCAAGTGATACTCCTGCTCAGCCTCCCAAAGTGCTGGGATTATAAGCATGAGCCACTGCACCTGGGAACAATCAGTCGAGAACATTTCATTACCTGCAGATAGACCCTCCTTAGGAGGCTGCTGAACAGTCCAGGAGAGATGGCAGCAGCTTACCCTAGAGCCGGGACCTTGTGGATGGCAAGAAGTATACTACTTTTAGAGTTAGAAATGGAAGGGCTTTTGCCAGATTAGCTATGATACAACAGGCAAAAGAGGAGTCAAGGGTGACCCCCAAGGTTGAGTGGCCCGGTGGGCAACCAGGCAGAGAAAACCAGTGAATAAAAGCAGAGAGGTGGGTGGGTATGAAGCTGAGGTGGGCGGATAACAAGGTCAGGCCTCCCAAAGTGCTGGGATTACAGGTGTGAGCCACCGTGCCTGGACCAATTTTTTTTTTTTTTTTTTTTTTTAATATATACAGGATCTCGCTATATTGCCCAAGCTGGTCTTGAACACCTGGCCTCAA